TTCCTTCCTTCCTTCCTTCCTTCCTTCCTTCCTTCCTTCCTTCCTTCGTTCCCTTTCTTTCTCTTTCTCTTTTCTTCTTTCTTGATTTCTCATGAAGAGGGAAGAGTGTGGGTGAAAGGTGTTGCAGTCTCTGCCTTTGTCTGTGGAGGGAGGTAACTGAGGGGAGTAGTATCCTAGCAACCTCAGCAAACAGTCCTCTGGTTTCTGTGCTGAAAGGCAGGCACTAATAAAATCTCTCTACTTCTCTGCAGGCAGTTTTCTTCTTTTTCAGGTTATAAACCATGTATCATCGAAAGACTGTGATTCCTAAATCAGCTGCCTGGGGCATTAGAGTAGCAGAATTTCCTCCTAGAAGCTGGTAATAAATTGCCTGTCAATCATAGATTTTAGTGTTTTGCTTTATTTTTATTATTATACTTTAAGTTCCAGGATACATGTGCAGAACATGCAGGTTTGTTACATAAGTATACACATGCCATGGTGGTTTGCTGCACCCATCAACCCGTCATCTACATTAGGTATTTCTCTTAATGCTATCCCTCCCCTAGTTCCCCGTTCCCCAACAGGCCCTGGTGTGTGATGTTCCCCTCCCTGTGTCCATGTGTTCAACTCCCACTTATGAGTGAGAACATGTGGTGTTTGGTTTTCTGTTCCTGTGTTAGTTGCTGAGAATGATGGTTTCCAGTTTCATCCATGTCTCTGCAAGGGACATGAACTCATCCTTGTTTATGGCCATATAGTATTCCATGGTGTATATGTGCCATCTTTTCTTTTTCCAGTCTGTCGTTGACAGGCATTTGGGTTGATTCCAAGTCTTTGCTATTGTGAACAGTACTGCAGTAAACTTACATGTGCATGTGTCTTTATAGTAGAATGATTTATAATCCTTTGGGTATATACCTAGTAATGGAATTGCTGGGTCAAATGGTATTTCTGGTTCTAGATCCTTGAGGAATCACCACACTGTCTTCCACAATGGTTGAATTAATTTACACTCCCAGCAACAGTGTAAAAGCGTTTCTATTTCTTCACATCCTCTCCAGCATCTGTTGTTTCCTGACTCTTTAATGATCGCCATTCTAACTGGCATGAGTGGTATCTCATTGTTGTTTTGATTTGCATTTCTGTAATGACCAGTGATGATGAACTTTTTTTCATATGGTTGGTGGCTGCATAAGTGTCTTCTTTTGAGAAGTGTTTGTTCATATCCTTTGTCCACTTTTTGGTGGGGTTGTTTGTTTTTTTCTTGTAAATTTGTTTAAGTTCCTTGTAGATTCTGGATATTAGACCTTTGTGCGATGGGTAGATTGCAAAAATTTTCTAGCGTTCTATAGGTTGCCTGCTCACTCTGATGATTGTTCCTTTTGCTGTGCAGAAGCACTTTAGTTTAATTAGATCCCATTTGTCTATTTTGGCTTTTGTTGCCATTGCTTTTGGTGTTTTAGTCATGAAGTCTTTGCCCATGCCTGTGTCCTGAATGGTGTTGCCTAGGCTTTCTTCTAGGGTTTTTATGGTTTTAGTTCTTACGTTTAAGTCTTTAATCAATCTTGAGTTAATTTTTGTATAAGGTGTAAGGAATGGGTCCAGTTTCAGTTTTCTGTATATGGCTAGCCAGTTTTCCCAACACCATTTATTAAATAGGGAATCCTTTCCCCAGTTCTTGTTTTTGTCAGGTTTGTCAAAGATCAGATGGTTGTAGATGTGTGGTATTATTTCTGAGGCCTCTGTTCTGTTCCATTGGTCTATATATCTGTTTTGGTACAGTACCATGCTGTTTTGGTTACTGTAATCTTGTAGTGTAGTTTGAAGTCAGGTAGCATGATGCCTCCAGCTTTGTTCTTTTTGCTTAGTATCATCTTGGCTATATGGGCTCTTTTTTGGTTCCCTATGAAATTTAAAGGAGTTTTTTTCTAATTCTGTGAAGAAAGTCATTGGTAGCTTGATGGGGATACCATTGAATCTATACATTACTTTGGGCATTATGGGCATTTTCATGGTATTGATTCTTCCTGTCTGTGAGCATGGAATATTTTTTCATTTGTTTGTGTCCTCTCTTATTTCCTTGAGCAGTGATTTGTAGCTCTCCTTGAAGAGGTTCTTCACATCCCTTGTAAGTTGTATTCCTAGGTATTTTATTCTCTTTGTAGCAATTGTGAATGGAAGTTCATTCATGATTTGGCTCCCTGTTTGTCTCTTATTGGTGTATAGGAATACTTGTGATTTTTTCACATTGATTTTGTATCCTGAGAATTTACTGAAATTGCTTATCAACTTAAAGAGATTTCAGGCTGAGACGATGGGGTTTTCTAAATATACAATCATGTCATCTGCAAACAGAGACAATTTGACTTCCTCTCTTCCTATTTGAATACCCTTTATTTCTTTCTCTTTCCAGAGTGCCCTGGCCAGAACTTACAATACTGTGTTGAATAGGAGTGGTGAGAGAGGGTATCCTTGTCTTGTGATGGTTTTCAAAGGGAATGCTTCCAGTTTTTGCCCATTCAGTATGATATTGGCTGTGAGTTTGTTATAAATAGCTCTTATTAGTTTGAGATACCTTCCATCAATATCTAATTTATTGAGAGTTTTTAGCATGAAGTGGTGTTGAATTTTATCAAAGGGCTTTTCTGCATCTATTGAGATAATCATGTGGTTTTTGTCATTGGTTCTGTTTATGTGATGGATTACGATTATTGATTTGTGTATGTTGAACCAGCCTTGCATCCCAGGGATGAAGCCGACTTGATTGTGGTGGATAGGTTTTTGATGTGCTGCTGGATTCGGGTGGCTGTTTTGCTTTTTTAAAAATATTCTTCACAGAAACTTTAGGGAGCATTGTGAGATACTCCCTCAAGGCATGCTAGCCAAATGGTCGTTTAAAACTGCAATCTTGGCTGCAGCATTTAAATAAGCACATTTATAAGGCTAATCAAAATAATTTTTTCTATTTAGAAATGAAAAGAAGTTATCAGTACTAATTTGCCTTGATGCCTATTTAAATGCCTAACTCCACTTTGACTTAATTACTGATTTTTATATTGGAAGTTAATACATAATTTTTAAAGCAATATTTTCTCTTCAAATCTAAAAAATGTTGTCTAGCTTCTTTAGAAAAGTATGTTGAGTGAACTGCCTATACCCAAACTTCTTTATCAAAGCATTCCTGATATCAGCACTTATTGTACATGCCACAGAATTTCCTCTTAGCAAGTAATATGGACTTGTAACTAACTTTATAAATATCTGTGTTTTGTATGCACTGTGCTTATAACATATCTAAAATATGTTTTGTGTTTTATTGAAACTTTGTTTACTTCCATTTTTGTTTTATTTTAATTCAAACCACCTATTTTTATTTAAGCATAGAAATCAAATCATCTACATTAAAAATCCTCTTTTCTTATCTATCTGGGCTATGCAGAAGGTGTGCCCTCTGAAACCTGACTGGATCTGTTAATTCTTCCATGGTTCCTATCTCACTGATGAAGAGTTCTGGACAGGTTATTCATTCATTACTGTCGTCAGTGGCCTCACTCACAGTATTAGCTGTCAGTTTCACTGCCAAGCTGTCTTTGTCATTGGCCTTAGTAAGACAAACCCAGATTTATCTTTTATGACAGTTCATAGGATGTCCTGTAAGCCCTACCCAGATAGGAGGCGTGGAATGTCACCCTTCTTTGCAAATTGTCATACTTGATGCTGGAACCATTTCCTAACTCTTAGTCATTTCCTTTCAATTCCTGAATAATATTCATTCTACTTCTTGAACTTATCTGGGTAGCTAGTTAACATAATAAGTTAATTTTTTAAATCATTATTTGCTTTCAGGAAGACTTTGCTATGGAGTAGGGCTACATGAGTTTAAGATTTATGAGATTATTTTCATCTTTTTGTATTTTTGAACTCTGGCTAACTAAAGATATTACCATTAGTCACTGGCAGATCACTCGGGGGTTTATCTGAATCAATCTTATTTCTAGGGTTATACTCTCCAGACTGTTGCCCCAGGACGTGTTTCTCTTGGCCTTTAGAATGTGGTTAAGGAAGTGGAGGAGGGAATGGCATTTTTGTGATTGGACCTGGAAACTTTGTGTCACTCATTAACATATCTGTGAGGTAGTGACATGCATGACATCTGTGCCAGATGGTCTCTGAAATCGAGAAAATGTGCATACATTTCGTTGTCCAAACTCAGATCAGTAGTAGTGGTGGATAAGTAAGAAGATACTAAAAATGTTACAGCCCAATAAATAACTAGTAATATTTGTTTTAAATAATCTAAGAATGCTTTTTAAAATTAAAATAGAAATACACAAACATGAGGTATTTGATAAATCCTAAATATACCATTTTTCTCCAGTATAGACTTACTCGTTCATTTAGCAGCATTTATTAGGCATCTGCCATGTGCTTTATACTCTGCTAAACACTGAGAATAAAAGGAAAAAATGAAACACAGTTCATTTCCTCTGAGGAATTCACCATCTAATGAAAGAGTAGATACACATTTAAATGCAAAATGGGTGTATGAATTTTCCCTGCTGCTTCACCACTTGCCACCAGGATGACAAACACCTGTACCTCCCTTCAGAGTGGAAGGCATGCCTGTGAATATTCTGGGCCATTGAAAAGGGATTTCCAATGTAGTGGAAATTAAGAAGGGACTATCCTGGGGAATGGAAAGCCCATACCCAAAGCGATGGAAGAATGGTTAGCTTTACTGCTCAAGTAGGGTGACAGGTGATGATCTCTGAGTTTGTAGGCTTGGGCCACCAAGGCAACAGGCTTGCAAGACAATAGATGTCTCCCTACTCCTCTCCAAGTCATCACTCTAGCTCTAGTTACTCTTCTCCCTGTGGCCCTTGGTGGGGTTAGAGAGGGTACCTGGAAGTTAGAAGAGCCAACGTGTGCTCTAAAGAAGGCAGTTGTGCCCATTGCTTCATCTTGGAATAGAATTCTGTGCTGCTTCTTTCTGGCCTCA